TTTTCTTCCACTCATCTGCTCCAATTTCTTCAAACCTGCTACGGGTCAGATGCTCCACATCAGACAACCTAAATGTCACATTTCGTGGAGCAACCCAGTTTTTTACGAGAGCCCAAATCTTCTCGATTGGGTTTAGCTCCGGATGATATGGAGGCAGTCGTAAAACTTTATGCCCGTGCTGTTCCATTAAGGCATCTAGCTTGTATTTGACTGGAAATCTTTTTTTTTCCTGTATTTTTTTATATAGTTCGGCCTTAGTCAATGATTTTCACTAGGAATTTGATGTTTTTCTAGCCAGTCAATCATCTCTGATTTCAGGCTAGAAGACGTTACATTTTTTTCTTCCAGGACATTGTGATAAGAAGCGTTGTCAACTACAAGCACAGAATTTTCAGGCAAATTTGGGATCAATTGGCTTTCTACCCATTTCATGAAGTTCAAATGATTCATGTCGTTGTGGTAGTCCCCAGATTTTGAGCCTGAAAATAAAATACATACATATAATCCAGTAAATGTAAAAATATATTGGAAATATTTTACATCATTGTAACACAAATAATACCTGATTTGAATATCAACAAGGCGTTAGGAATAAAGCCGAATTCTCCACCAGCATGCACAATAATCATTCGTTGTCCTTTTGATAAAGGCGTTTTTAGTTCCTTGTCATAATTGTCATCTGACCATCCTTTTTTTGGGGTATGACTAGAATGTATATATGTTTCATCCGTATAAATTATGTTCCTGTTCTCAGCTCTATATTTCATAATTTGCTTCAGATATTCGATACGCTTCAAGCGAATTTCATATTTTTCCATGAGAGCTCTTTTATTATCAGTAGTTCTTTTCCATCTGTAGATATAAATTTATTTATAGCGTTGTAAATCGAAAACCTTATAGTGTGTATGAATACTGACCTAAAGCCCATTTGTTTCAAAAGTTTGTTCAAAGTCGTTATTTTACCCTCAAAATTGAGTTGTCGATCTTGCATTTTTTGGTAAATACCTAAAAAATCTTAAAATGAAATATGACTAGATGCTACGGTTACAATTTAAAAACTTACATTTCAGCGAAGGTCTTCTTTTCTCCAAAATATAAAAATCGTATATGATTGCTTTCATTTCTTCAATTTGGCCTGCAGTCACTTTATCCACAACAGGTGATTTTCGTTGCCGCTTTTTAGATGGGGATGAAAATGAAAAGTTGCTTGAATATATTCCATCTCTGCTCTCTTTAGCTATTTTTTGATAAGTACATTTACTTATACCCGTGGCAGCTAACACACGTTTCCTAAATGGGTTAATCAGTTTTAATTGACAATAATTATAAAAATCTTTTACATTCATACATACCGGTATTGTTGAAGTGGAAACTTTAATCCCTCTACACTTTCCTGTACCATGAAGTTATTGACATTGTTGATAATTTCCTTTCCTTGACTCCCAATCGCCTTTCCTTTCACGCCAATCTCTTTCACAGACATTGTTTAGATCACTGGTTCAAAACTATTAATAATTTAAATTTGAACAATAGTAAAAATTTCCACTATATTGCAATCTATTTGACAATTTTTACACACGGTGCCTTGTTCAAATTAGTTTATAAAACTGAACTTATGACTAACGGGACAGGTTTATATATCTGTTGCAGGTAAAATAAATGTGATTGATTAACACTCATCCTCTTAACGCTACTACGAACGAAGGGATTTAGCAACCGGGATTATTCCAGGTAGTTCAATTTTACACTTGTTATATTAGATTTGTTTCTACTAATTTTGTTTACCTACGCTTGATAGTGGTATTAGCCTATTTATCTAGGTACTAATTAATGCCCTCTAGGAAGTCTCATGATTGGTATAGATATAAGCGGATCACAGTCTTAGGATTAATTTAATTCTTTCAGTTGTTTGCCAACTTTGGGGTTTTATCCTTTCATATTGTGTCTATTATATGTAGGTACCTGTTCACTATTTTAAATTTTGATTTATGGATCTCCATCACATATCCACAAACCCCATAAGATTAATAATTTTCACACAATCAAATATAAAGTTATGATATGGTTAATAACTAAAAAATAAATAAGTCAAAGAAACGTCTCATCAGATCCCAATTGTTGTCCACAATCTCAACTGACTGAAACTTGCGTATCTACATACTAAAAAACGTTCCGCCTATGGCTTTCTGAGAGTGGGATGTCCCTTAACAGCGTCAACAGCAACATAATTTCTGGACATTGAAGACCACATACATTTTTTAAGCTTTCTACGATATAAATATTCGCCACGATTAGACTGGACCACATTAAGAGGGCGGTAACAGATGTCCATAAATCTTACCAGAGACTGCCACAACAATTTCTATATTCTTATAGGGTACAATCGACGCAAGGGAGAGGGTATAAAGTGATGACGTAGCGGGCATAACCTTAGGCTGTTCGAAACTATACCACCATTGCATATCAAATTAGGATTAATAAAAAATTTTGTGAAAGCAATGGATCGCAATGGGAGTGGATTTTTGTATCTAAAAGAAAATTCCCTAAATTAGGGAGTTAATAAAGATTCAAGATTTGAAGAAAAAATTAAACGATTTAGAACATCTGCATGAAAGGCTTTTAAGAATGTTGTTGCACATTTTTTGGGTAACCACAAGAGTGACAGCTACAGAGAGTTCGTTAGCGAGCTATTATTGTCATATCAAGCATTTGGGTTGCAACATGTCACTTAAGATCCATTTTTTTAGACTCGCACCTGGATTTTTTTCCTGACAATTTAGGGGCTGTCAGCGACGAGCACGGTGAGAGGTTCCATCAGGACATTTCTAATATGGACAAGCGGTACCAGGGCAATGGAGCCCTAATATGTAGCAGATTACTGCTGGACAATTAAAAGGGTACAAACCAGAAGCTAAATGTTCAAGAAAATCTTAGATTATCAAGTCATTGATAAAAAAAAATTACTTTTGATTTACGAGATCTGTGTTTTTTCTTAATATTTTAAATTACTCATAGAATAAAATCCTTGTCTAGCAATTTTTTTTAAACTGTTTATTTTTTTCTTACAATCACCACTTAAGTAAAAAAATATCAAAAAGTTCCGTGTGGCACGATAAAGTTAAAATTTTGTGACCAGTGTTACAGCCTGTGGCCCAACGATACGAACCCCCATTTGTGCACTCTCCTGGTATATTTTGTGGAAAAACGGTCGGATACGTAAATTTTGATTTCTACGTCGTACAATACAGGGCAATGGAGACAATGAAAAATTCCCAATAACCAGCCCTATCACTCTACGAATATCCACCATTTATATCTAAATGGAAGAATTGAGAGATAGATGTTATTCAATCCTCATTTGAGCTTTCTCCAACAATGACCTCGTACTATTTGCAGGAATGTACAAGGGGACTCTAAACAGCTTCTGCAGAGTGGTTGTAGACTGTAAGGAATACGGCTACTACTGTGCTGGCAACAGAACATGTCAATGTCTTCCAAGCTACGTTCCAAACGATAAAGGACAACTGTGCCTGGGACGTAAGTATAAAAAAGAGTATAATTTGTTTTTGATTGTATAGATTGACAGATCAGACGTCGTCTTGGCAACAAGATGATGGTAAGCCAAACAACTTGTTTACAAAGTTGTTCTTTCACTTGTTAATATTGACATAGATCCTTTAGGATATATAGGATAATAGGAAAATGTATCCCCTTTACTATACAGGGTGACCCAATATTTGTGGACATATAAGTACCACGTACTTTTAGACTAGCGTCGATTGGACATGACTTACCTATATGCAAAAGTGCTTGGTTTCTTCTGCTTTGAATGATTTGAATGAGATTTGGAACACATGTGTTTTGCTAGATGTTCAGATATTTGAATCTTACTAAACAGCAGCAGAATTATTATGGCAACTTTTCCGACGACTCTGTTTTTCTTTAATTTAGCAGATCCTTTTATTTACTTTACTTTTTGTCTCTTATAAAAAACAGGCCATCTCGGATGGTTTGGTGAAAAAAAAATATAGTCGCATCAAGAGGTTCCTACGCGTTTAATTAATTCTTAAATTAAATTAAATTGAATTCTTTAATTTTATAAAAAAAATTCTTAGAAACCACCCGCGCAAATGATTTTTTCTCGAAAACTATGCGAGATGGTCTGTTTTTATCAGAGACAAAAAATCAAGTAAATAAAGGATCTTTTGGACAAAAACTCGAACCCTTTCGGTTTTTTTGTAAAAGTCAAATATTTGGAAATCCAGCGAAACAAATGTGCTTCGTTCAAGTCGAAATACCGGTTACAAAAATATCTGACAAACGTGTCGACGAACTCTAACGGACAAACGAAGCACTTTTGCATGGAGGCGATCTATTTTGAGTCTAAAAATACGTGGTACTTCTATGGCCACAGAATGTTGGGACACCCTGTAGAAGCACTTCGAAATCAGGCTGTTTTATACATTCAAAATTGGCCCTATGCTTTTCAGTATTAGACTGTCGCGAGCTGCCTTAATTTCAATATGTATGGAGCTCATACAAAGGCAGAAAATTTCGTAATTAACCATTTTCCGACCCAAAGTAGGACAGCACATATTTGCTTAGCACGCGAAATGATAGATAAGGATATTTAGTTACAAATATTTAATTGCTTTGCTTATACCTTTTTGGTATAAATTCTGATGAGAAATGCTTGCAATGTCCCACAGGTAGTACATGTCTAGCATTTTCAGAAATAAGGTATTTTAACTTCGATGAAAATCGTAATCATTGTAGTCAAAATGTACTTCTCAATACGAGATTTTGGTCGTACTCTGTTATTATTACAATTCTATTATTATCTTTAACAAATGCCTGATATCATTTATTAACGTAAAAATAAAAAAAAGGCGTCAAGTAGATTGTCTCTAATGTATATGTCATATAACTTAGAAAAGAAATAATATCTAAATTCGGATTTTTTTTTTTTTCAATTCAGTTAGTGTTGTGGGGTGAAATGATGAACAGATGTTTGTTGCTTTCTACGGTGAATCTTTTGTTTTTATTGGTGTCATACCCTTATTGTAGTCTGCTATTAGACGTTTACAATATACTTTGAACATTTACATATAGATTTACACTTCTTTTGGACAGTTTTTTGTCGCGTTGAGAAAAGGTGTGGACTGTATTATTAATTTGTTCTCTCAAGTCTCTATCAACGTTGCCACGTTGAGCACATTGTTCGGAAACAGCGTAGGAATAATGTCATCAGCGATGGTGTATTTCGACATCCAAAACATTCAAGTATATATCCATATATGCTTATATAGTTGAGTACAGCGCCATCGATGAGATACAAAGCTTTGGCAAATTCCTCATAGATAACGCCAGGATATCTGGTTTCATGTCGAATAATTTTTTGGAAGCTGAAATACTATACACAATAATATATATATATATATATATATATATATATATATATATATACAGGGTGACTTTGAAGTTGAGTCATTAATTTTCAGATAATGATTGTAGAAGGAAGATAAACCAAAATATGTGTGTAAAAATAAAAAAAAAATAAAAAAAAATGTTTACCTTGTTTTATAAAGTATCCTCCCGACAAGTATTCAGTGTGGACCTGATCATGAGGTCCCCTGTGAGGTCTTAAGTCACCTGATTCACGAGCCCGTTGTACTACATTAACAAAGGCACGAGGGGTTGGTTGCACTCGATTGGGAAACCGATCCGCATAAACATGTGCCATTTTTTATTTCGTTTGAGCCACGCAACAGACACTATTCACACGCAAACTGAGACTGACTGTATGTATAACTGAACTGAATAAAATAAGGTAAAAATATCGTTCCAAATTCTTTCGCTTTTTTGTTTCCGATGCGATGAACCGATAAGGTGGACTATATCCGTTGTTGCCAAACACGAACACATGATATTATTATTGAGACAGGGCGGTACTCAAACTTCCAAAGGGCTATAACTTTGTTACTTTAATTTTACCAGAAAAATGGTAAAGGAAAAAAACATTTCTTTTGATCAGATCTACTCACTGTTAAAATAAATGACTCAACTTCGAAGTCACCCTGTATATAACTTGAGACGTGGTCATTGTCGTCTAAACCAGTTAGGTGAAAAATTAAAGCTTCCGCCTTTTGTTGGGTACTTCGACAAAATTTAAGCAAAGAGGACTCTTTATACTTTTTTTAATTCTCTCTAGCTTTCAATGGACTTGCCATCATCATCAGGAGCTGCAATTACAATGATAACAGTAGCAACAAAAGTGTAAAATGAATTTAAAATGAATCAACTTACAGTAGTATGTGAGGATGTTGCTAATTGTTGTTTCGTATAGGATGAGGGAAACGTCCAGTAACATGGTGAGAGCTGGATACATGGTACAATGGTTAAAATTATATAAATATGACAAGACAAGTTAAATACAGATTAAAAATTATTTAGAAAACATTAGAGCATTACGTCGTAAAGCAACTTGATGATTGCACAAAATGGTGGTCATGGAATAATGAGTGAGATGAACCTTTGACAGAAGGCCGAAGGTTGTCAATGTCTGTGTTGAACAGATGGAACGAATTGTGGGCGTGTGCAATTTCTTACATAACATTCTGAAAATCACATCATCTGAAGTGATTTGGCAACGTTTTGGCACACGCCCACAATTCGTTCCATCTTTCACCACAGACATTGACAACCTTCGGCCTTCTGTCAAAGGTTCATCTCACTCATTATTCCATGACCACCATTTTGTGCAATCATCAAGTTGCTTCACGACGTAATGCTCTAATGTTTTCTAAATAATTTTTAATCTGTCTTTAACTTGTCTTGTCATATTTTATATAATTTTAACCATTGTACCATGTATCCAGCTCTCACCATGTTACTGGACGTTTCCCTCATCCTATACGAAAACAACAATTAGCAACATCCTCACATACTACTGTAAGTTGATTCAATTAAATTCATTTTACACTTTTGTTGCTACTGTTATCATTGTAATTGCAGCTCCTGATGATGATGGCAAAGTCAATTGAAAGCTAGAGAGAATTAAAAAAAGTATAAAGAGTCCTCTTTGCTTAAATTTTGTCGAAGTACCCAACAAAAGGCGGAAGCTTTAATTTTCACCTATATATATATATATATATATATATATATATATATATATAATTACCACTACGTACCAATTAAAGCACATTTACCATTGTTTCAACAATCGATGAATACCCCTGCTTAAAGAAATCTCGTGGCTGCTGCGTGAAGAATTGTTTTACGGCATTTTGTACTTCAGACAAATACAAATGACAGGAACTGATCGTGTAACAACACAACAAACATTGCGGAATGTCAGTTGAGTGATTAGAATTGTTTCTAAGGCTAACCTGACCAAAGATGGGTTCCAATTGGACAAGCCTCGGCATTTGCGACTCTTTATAACTATACATCATAGAGCTCTGTTTTAGTCGTTTCTACAATTGTAGGACGCCTTTATGGCCTCCTTGATTTTCATAGCCTTTTCTTCTCCTTCAGAAAGGCTGGGATATTTCTAGATTACTACTGTTCCCTGTCAGCGTCAGGGCTCTCCTATTGTCATGCTACGTTTTCTTCTTCAATTGTAAGAATTTCAAACAGATGATGTGATCATTTGACGCAAATAGATAACATAACAAAACATAACCTCAAAACGGAGCACTGACACGGAAGAGCAGAAAACTATGAAAATCATGAAGGCGTCCTACAAGCCCTAAAGAGTGTATATCTTATTGTGGTTTTTTTTTCAGTTTTAGGTGAAAAATGCAAATACGACGAGCACTGCATAGAAGGGGCGTTCTGCTATTTACAAGACACTTGCAAATGCAAAGACGAATATCGACCGTCGTTCGACAATATGTACTGCCTCAGTAAGTATTCGCAAGAGATTCTACTCGGAAAAATATGTCGACATATCTAATGTTTGTCAAGTTTATATGGTCAAAGTGCTTTTTGAATAGCATATTAGGTGCATTTGATGCATTTAAGAAATCATAGCGCGTTATTACTAGTTAAATAAAAATGCTTTGAAATAAACAAAGTGCAAAATACTCTTCGGAGGTTCTGGAATATGAAATATTGTATCGTGTACAAAATTTCCGAAGGGCAGCTGCGTATGAATCGCCACTCGATAGCAAAAGCACGCTGCGCTCCGGTCCAACGTTCCATTGTGACTATTTAACCCGCACGTCGAAACGCATCAGCGTTGCCAGATTCATCGCACGGAATTATCGTACAAACACGTCAAAATTATCGTACATTATCCTCTCAGGATTCATGATGAAGGAAAATTTCCGTCTCTTTCCTATAAGCTTGCTGTCTATGTTTGGCTTTTTTTTGTTTTCTGCATTCGAGAGTATCGCATCTTTTGTTGTGCTACTCTCTTCCAGAGCAACTTGATTCGGAATCCGATATATTATCGTTAATGAATTGAAACCGGTTAAATATCGAAAAATAAACTGAAAACGATCTTTTTGATTTTTAACTTTCAAGAGTCATAATAACGGGAGACGTCGCATTTATTTCATCTAATCACATGGGTAAATATAATATGCGCGTCATGTCAATACATAGAACGTGAGAACTGATTGACGGCAATTTTTCCTCTTGATATTTGCCGAGATAGTCCGCGTAATGCTAGGCAACCCATTATACAGAGTGGAGTACGCGCGGTTGTCTACCAAGCGGCAACACTGACAGCTGCCTGCTGATGTAATTGACCGTAGTTGTTAGATTGATTCAACATCTGTGAGTAAAAAAGCTCGATCGCAAATTATCGTACATTCAGCTATTATCCTACACATAGTATGGTACATCGTACAGTACTTGAAATTATAGAATACAGAAACGATAATTATCGTACGTCTGGCAACGCTGGAACGCGTCGATCAAGACCTCTCCGCGGTTGGCGCGTAATTCAAATTTAAAAAATGTGAACTTTCCCACTGTGCTGGACTGGCATTTCACTTTTCCGTTTTTTTGCAGGTGGTTGCAACATCTGTGACCAAAAACTACGTTCTAATATCAAATTTCCTAGTATTATCGTTATTGTTTTGCTTGAAAATTGTGTAGTTGTAGGATATATACATAGGTATAGATATAAAGAAAATATTTATTATTGTAAATATAATTTATTGTCATGTTATGTACAAAACTTGTTGCCATTTTGTGATTTATACCGTTTGATGGATTAATAAATCTTATAAGTGTACTTAAAATTGTAGATTACAATAGCGTTTTTTTTTTTCGTACGAATACCTGTTATTTTACAGTTATTGTATTCTGGTGAAATTCTGAAGTGCAGTCAAACCTAAGTACGAGTGACCGAGGTATTTTGTCAAAGTAAAACGTAACTCTTAAAATGCATATGACCATCCACGTTTCACTTTTCTGTAGAAGAACGTGTCTTTTGACCAATAATACTGAAGTTATTATTTTTGGCTAAAGTAATTGCGATTAGCAAGAGCGGCATAATTTAAGTATATAGGGGATGATTCTGATTAGATGAGAAACGTCGATAACTCCTGCGTTTGATCAAAAAGAATGCAAAGCCTGTAGTACAAATTTCGCAGAATTCCGATCAAAATCATAACATAAAAAATCGACGGAAGCACATTGCATATACACTATTTTTATTATAAAATCACACAGTACAAAAGATACAAATACAAGAAATAGTGGAACATTAATCAGTTTTATATGCCTACATAAATTATTATTGGCATTTTTTACATGTCAAAATGTATAAATTCATATATATAACTGAACTGAATGGATAAATCCTCAAACTTTTCAGCTTGATGACTGCAAATACAATATTTTTTAGTTCACTTCATTTATTTTTTCTCACACATAGATTATAAGCTTTAGCTCGGAAATCACATAGGCGGAGACGTAAACTTGGATTATAGATCGAGGTCACCCTGGCATATTATTTTGTTGGTTCTTGAAGCCTTTATAATGTTCGACAGTGTATGACTCTTGAAACATACACAAACTTATCCTACTATTTAGAGCCAAAACACGATCGTAGTGATTCCCATAATAAACAGAATACTTCCAGGCATTATCCAGTGTGCTCCACATCCAACCTCCTGGTTCTCAACATCCGGAAAGCAACTGCACACTCTGTTCACACAATCTGCACGTTCGTGAACTTTTCGTCCGGGATGCATTCCGATTGGTCGTTGCATTCATCACCTATTTTGACAGAACGCACGCATCTGTAATGAGAAAGTGTTATGTTGCAGACTAATAAATTATTTGACAAAATATGATGATATAAGCGGTTGTTTTAGAACAACAAACACAATTGTAGGACGCCGTTATGACCCCCTTGATTTTCATAGCTTTCTATCGTTCCGTGTCAGCACTCTACTTTGAGGTTATGTTACAAATACCTATTTGCGTCAAATGGTTCATGCTATTGATTTATATCATTTGTTACATCAGCCTGAAATTTCCTACAATTCAAAAAGAAAGCATAGCCTCACGATAGAAAAAGCGCTGACTCTGACAGTATAAATCTAGAAATGCCACAGCCTTGCTGAAGGAGAGAAAATACTATGAGAATCAAGGAGGCCATACAATTGTAGAACGCCTTTATGGTTAGCTTGATTTTCATAGCTTTCTATTGTTCCGTGTCAGCACTCTACTTTGAGGTTATGTTACAATACCTATTTGCATCAAATGGTTCATGCTTTTGATTTTATATCATTTGTTACATCAGCCTGAATTTCCTACAATTCTAAACGAAAGCATAGCCTCACGATAGAAAAGCGCTGACTCTGACAGTAGAAATCTAGAAATGCAGCAGCGTTGCTAAAGGAGAGAAAATACTATGAGAATTAAGGAGGCCATACAATTGTAGAACGCCTTTATGGTTAGCTTGATTTTCATAGCTTTCTATCGTTCCATGTCAGCACTCTACTTTGAGGTTATGTTACAAACACCTATTTGTATCAAATGGTTCATGCTTTTGATTTATATCATTTGTTACATCAGCCTGAAATTTCCTACAATTCAAAACGAAAAAAATAGCCTCACGATAGAAAAGCGCTGACTCTGACAGTAGAAGTCTAGAAATGCCGCAGCCTTGCTGAAGGAGAGAAAATACTATGAGAATCAAGGAGGCCATACAATTGTACAACGCCTTTATGGTTAGCTTGATTTTCATAGCTTTCTATTGTTCCGTGTCAGCACTCTACTTTGAGGTTATGTTACAAATACCTATTTGCGTCAAATGGTTCATGCTTTTGATTTATATCATTTGTTACATCAGCCTGAAATTTCCTACAATTCAAAAAGAAAGCATAGCCTCACGATAGAAAGGCGCTGACTCTGACAGTAGAAATCTAGAAATGCCGCAGCCTTGCTGAAGGAGAGAAAATACTATGAGAATCAAGGAGGCCATACAATTGTAGAACGCCTTTATGGTTAGCTTGATTTTCATAGTTATCTATTGTTCCGTGTCAGCACTCTACTTTGAGGTTATGTTACAAATACCTATTTGCGTCAAATGGTTCATGCTTTTGATTTATATCATTTGTTACATCAGCCTGAAATTTTCTACAATTCAAAACTAAAAAAATAGCCTCACGATAGAAAAGCGCTGACTCTGACAGTAGAAATCTAGAAATGCCGCAGCCTTGCTGAAGGAGAGAAAATACTATGAGAATCAAGGAGGCGATACAATTGTAGAACGCCTTTATGGTTAGCTTGATTTTCATAGCTTTCTATTGTTCCGTGTCAGCACTCTACTTTGAGGTTATGTTTCAAATACCTATTTGCATCAAATGGTTCATGATTTTGATTTATATCATTTGTTACATCAGCCTGAAATTTCCTACAATTCAAAAAGAAAGCATAGCCTCACGATAGAAAAGCGCTGAATCTGACAGTAGAAATCTAGAAATGCCGCAGCCTTGCTGAAGGAGAGAAAATACTATGAGAATCAAGGAGGCCATACAATTGTAGAACGCCTTTATGGTTAGCTTGATTTTCATAGCTTTCTATTGTTCCGTGTCAGCACTCTACTTTGAGGTTATGTTACAAATACCTATTTGCGTCAATGGTTCATGCTTTTGATTTATATCATTTGTGACATCAGGGCCTGAAATTTCTACAATTCAAAAAGAAAAGCATAGCCTCACGATAGAAAAGCGCTGACTCTGACAGTAGAAGTCTAGAAATGCCGCAGCCTTGCTGAAGGAGAGAAAATACTATGACAATCAAGGAGGCCATACAATTGTAGAACGCCTTTATGGTTAGCTTGATTTTCATAGCTTTCTATTGTTCCGTGTCAGCACTCTTACTTTGAGGTTATGTTACAATACCTATTTGCGTCAATGGTTCACGCATTTGATTTATCAGTTGTTAATCAGCCTGAAATTTCCTACAATTCAAAAGGAAAGCATAGCCTCACGATAGAAAAAAGCGCTGACTCTGACAGTAGAAGTCTAGAAATGCCGCAGCCTTGCTGAAGGAAGAGAGAAAATACTATGAGAATCAAGGGGCCATACAATTGTAGAACGCCTTATGGTTAGCTTGATGTTCAGAGCTTTCTATTGTTCCGTGTCGGCACTCTACTTTGAGGTTATGTTACAAATACCTATTTGCATCAAATGGTTCATGCTTTTGATTTATATCATTTGTTACATCAGCCTGAAATTTCCTACAATTCAAAACGAAAGCATAGCCTCACGATAGAAAAGCGCTGACTCTGACAGTAGAAATCTAGAAATGCCGCAGCCTTGCTGAAGGAGAGAAAATACTATGAGAATCAAGGAGGCCATACAATTGTAGAACGCCTTTATGGTTAGCTTGTTGTTCATAGCTTTCTATTGTTCCGTGTCAGCACTCTACTTTGAGGTTATGATTCAAATAACTATTTGCGTCAAATGGTTCATGCTTTTGATTTATATCATTTGTTACATCAGCCTGAAATTTCCTACAATTCAAAAAGAAAGCATAGCCTCACGATAGAAAAGCGCTGACTCTGACAGTAGAAGTCTAGAAATGCCGCAGCCTTGCTGAAGGAGAGAAAATACTATGAGAATCAAGGAGGCCATACAATTGTAGAACGCCTTTATGGTTAGCTTGATTTTCATAGCTTTCTATTGTTCCGTGTCACCACTCTACTTTGAGGTTATGTTACAAATACCTATTTGCGTCAAATGGTTCATGCTTTTGATTTATATCATTTGTTACATCAGCCTGAAATTTCCTACAATTCAAAAAGAAAGCATACCCTCACGATAGAAAAGCGCTGACTCTGACCCCGGTCAGTAGAAATCTAGAAATACCCCAGCCTTTTGAAGGAGAGAAATGACTATGAGAATCAAGGCGGCTATAAAGGCGTCCTACAATTGTAGGAGCGACGACGATACGGCCATTACGGTCAATACATACTTGGAACCGTAGCCATGGTGACCATCTGGGCAGGTGCAATTTCCCAATTTGCATATACTTCCTGTCAGAAACGTGGAGCATTGCTCAGACTCTTCGCAAATGTCGTCGAAAACTGTAGCAGCTAAAAAATATTGAGCGTGAATTAGAGCGGCAGAGAAGTTTTGTATGGGCTCCGTCATCGGTAAACGATTTCAATTGAAGAGAAATTTCGAAAAAACAAAAACACAACAAAAATATCTGATCCTCAAATTCGAGGATCATCTGAACCTTTGTGTCTGACAATTTTTGCTGTATTTCTAAGAATAAAGTAAAGTAACAAAAATGTTTGCGGCTTTTAACAAACTTGGGTTCGAGCAAATCGCATCTCGATATCTTATTCCTAACCTAACATTTAGGCCAAGGTCCAATATATTATCATGAGATGTGATGTTTATTGACCGTGTAGCCTGGACGTCAGTAATGGTTAGGACCACGGTAAATACTGATCGTCTGGTATTCGCTTTACCGTTTCCGAGATCCTCCCAAAGGCTAGGTTCGTATTTGAAACACACGTAACATATACAGGGTGGCCCATCCATGTGTGGACGAAATATTACTCATAAACAAATACATTTTGGGAAAATCTATTTATGGTATGTTATACGTGACATTCTGTCTGTTGTCAAAAAATAAAGGCCCGATAACTTGTTCGCCAATAACTGATCCCCAAACATTCAAGCTCTATTTATTTTGGAAATCTATTTGTCTGACCCAGTAACGGTTTTCCATCGCATACCTACATCTGATTCACCTCATTGGTGACACTTGGATTATTTATACATTTTTTACTATATTCCACTGCTTCACTTGATTCAAAACGTTCTCGTAGTGTGGAAAATGTTTCCGGCCTTGGATGTCGCTTCGCCCAAAACGAACACCATATTCACCACTTCTTCTTTAGAAAAACTCATTTTCAAACACGTTTTTATTATGATGCTCACAAATCTAATTTTGACAGTTTGAAACTGAACAACAATTTATTTGTTTCCTAGGATGATGCGATATTTTAGCCGTTCCATAAAAGACCCTAATAACCGAAAAAATAGCCGTAAAAACCCTTATGTGTATAGTATCAAAACAAAGCTTATAAAAATTGAATCCAAACTTGCATTTGAAATTTTTTAGAAAAACTACAATTTGCGTTTTTGACCACCCTGTATGAGCAAAAATTAAAATTCGAGAAAGCAACAAAAGAGAAAAGATGAGGTGTGCAAGCTTTTTTTTGATACAGAATTCAGCACTCCAACTTTCAAAATGGCGGACTGAGGGGTTGCCAAAGTGGGGGTTTTTCTAGACAAAACACGTTATATCTCAGTAGCTACTTACCAAAACCACATAGTATGTTATATCAATTTTCTTCTTTTGAATCGGTTTATCCAAATGTGCCTTCAAATTTGAGGCATTCCATTTCAAAAATCACAACTTTGATATGTAGGTCGAAATTGGGAGAGCCTGTATAATGGCCAATATTTTTAAAAATATGCCCTCAAATGTCATGTATAACATCTCATAAATAGATTTTCCCAATATGCATTTGTTTATGAGTAATATTCCGTTCACACATGGATGGGCCACCCTGTATAGTGTAAGTTTATATCTAACATAGATTAATTTGATTTATTGATAAAAAATGTTCTCAGAGAAAAGGAAGGACAGCTGCCCCCCTTGCCCCCTCTGGATACGCCTTTGCTATAATACCTCCTGAAAGTAGGCAACCTACACTACTTGCCCTCTCACAAACGTTCGCTTGTAGCGAAGATGTGAATTCTGCATCTAGAATGTCAATTTACCTTTAGGCACCTCTTCTCGTCCCTGGACAAAGCGTACCCGACTGCGCACTTGCAAGTCACCGGCAAACAGCGTTGTCCACGATTCCACACTGATCATCCGAGATGCAGGATTGACCTAAGTATCTACCCTCAACGCAACTCGTCAAATCTTGCGATGGAACTTCGGTGTCTTTCACACAGGCACATCTTCCGTCCACGCAGTGTCCGAAAGAACCGTTTTTCAGGTAACAGTTGCCGTCAGCGTGGCAGAAAATCTTCCAATACTGAAAATAATATCTGGTTAAGCTTGTTTGTTCGTCGAGCCGACACTGTACAGCTGTTTTGTGCTTATTGGCAAACATCAGCATGATCTAGGCTGGACAACAAACATTGGACATAGTCGAAATTACAAAATATGACAATTACGTCATTATTTTAGTCTGTAGTCTGTGAATACACCTATATTTAATGAAGTTTCTGATATGTTAGACAGAGACAAACAAATGTTATTGTCTAAACAAACTGTATTGCTAATTTGCATGTATCCGATAAAGATAGACGATGTTTTTCATGTTGCATGATCGATCATATTTGAAAGATGAATAGTTAGGTTAGGTATGTTAAAGCAGGTTATGTTGTTTTCGAATAATACTTTGGTCTTTGCTGTTCCTGTCTTAAGGTATTCTACTCATAACGGTTTTTTCAAAACAAAACTCCCTACTAAAATTACTATTAAGGTATCACTCAAACCATGAATTAAAATCAAAATAAAAATAATCAGTGAAATAACCTAACTTCGCAAAATCATAATATAAATTTGTTGTCATTATATGTTTCTGACTGTGATTTTATCATAGACGTATGGTTTATCTGAAGTCACTTGAAATAGCATAAAAACCTTTGGTCGCGCGTCCTTTGTAATTTCATGACGTATCATAGGCGTGCGGTCATTATTTAGACCGATATAATAATGTTTTTATATCACAATAAATGGATTTTACTATCTTCTTATTTTTTTATTTGGGATAAAAATACTTATATTGGGAGTTTAATTTATGTTGACTGAAAAGTTAAGAATGGAAAATTACAGAATTCCAACGTTTGACATAGGCAAATATTTACATAGCAGGTAGGTATATAAAAAGGTATAAAGACTTACAATATAGGTATTTATATATCATCCTCGCCTTCGGAGCTGTCGCTAGAGCCATCTTGTAGAGGATCTACAACGGGATTTACAGGAGGCAAACACAATATTCATTTTCTTTTTCAATAATATGCCTAGAACACTGCTTCCATAGGTCTGTGGCAGCAATATGAGATACTGCATCTCTTATTGTGGCCAATAGCGATTCACTTAATTGAGGGGTCTGATTATGTTTTCATTACTTTTTTTTTAAAGCAGCCCAGACCAACTCAATCGGGTTAAAATGCAGTAATAGGGAGGTAGACGTAATACTTCATGGCCATTTTGCTGAAGCAGATTGTCAACAACATACTCTTTTTCAAATTTTTGTCTTTTAATAAGATCCAATACTAGGGCTTTGGTTGATTTTTGTGGTATTTCCATTCCCTTATCCTTCATAAATCAATAATGTCTTGTTTTTTGTGCCTGTATTCGGAATTTTGTTTTTCTGTCGGGAATGGTATGGCGCATTGTCCATAATAATCACTGAATTTGGGGAAATGTTTGGTATTAACTGCTGCTCTATCCACTTTTCAAATAAGTCGGAGGTCACGTCCTCATGATAGTCGGCACATGATTCTTTGATATTTTTGGCAGATAACAGCAAGGCATTAGGTATAAATCCATTTTCACTGCCAGCATGGAGAATAATAATTCGTTTTCCACGGTTGCATGGTGCATTTAAAATGCACTTGTTGCTGTCGTCAACCCAGCCGTACTGCAGAACATCATGGGTATCATACCACGTTTCATCCAGGTAAATCAGATTTCTTTTTCTGCTCTCAATAGATTTTAACTTTGTGCAAAAATTCTTGGCGCAATTCAACGATTCGAGACGACTCCATAATCACCATTCTTTTATCTAATTTTTTGTATTGAAAACCACACAGTTTTACAATACAGTGCAGTGAGTCTAAGCATTTGTAATTATAAAAATCTTCAGGATAATCTTTAATTTATCCCGTATCATTCCAACGTGGGCACCAAATTTTCTTATAAAATCCGTATATTATACGACGAATATCTTCCTGAAAACCCACGTCTATTCTTTTTAATTTTTGCCCTATGCGCTTTCTGTGGAAGGAATGGTTGACTACACCTCCCCTTTTTATAACCCGATAAATGGTAGACCGACTGATTTTGTCAGGATACAAATTCTGTTTAAAATTTGATTTTGCGAGGATCTGGATTTTCGTTTTTAAACAATCATACATATTTAGGATTACTCTTTGGGTCCTGTTCCTCTAAATCTTTATGAAAGAATTCTGCCTGCACAGGTTCATCAACCATCTCCTCGTGGCTTGGAGCATTTTCCCAAGGTCTCCAAGAGCCATATTTAGGACACACAAGAACAAATCAACACAACAATTAAATCAACAAGTAAACTGAGTATTCAAAAGTCAAAAACACACAAACTAATAAAATCTATGAAAAACACGGACAGACTAAAGAAAACACGTTTATTCACCGCTACACGGCACTGGCTAAACTGTTTCAATGTTCAGTAGCCACCTGCACTTGTTCGGAGCTCTGAAATACACGCTTTCTCATTGGCTATGTCCACGCATAGGCGTGCCTTTACTCCACGTGGACCGGTGAAACTGCCTTTGATCTTATACGGGGGATATTTGCTGCGAAATTTGGCGATTTTTGCAGCAACAGAGCGTGTTAATATAGATATATAAAACGCACCCGGTATTTCACAGTGTTTTCAAGTGACTTCAGATAACGTATACGTCCATTGATTACTTCAGTACAATTTATGGTATGACGTAATAGTCATCTTTCGTGATTTTGACTATATAGAAGTTCACCTGAGCAGCTGTGTGTGTGCTGTTACTAAAATTTGAATCTGAAATTAGAGTGAATCTCTCAACCGCGTTAGAGAATGCAGGGAGACTCTCCACATAGTACTGTTTATGAAAATGCACATCTGGCTCCATAACCAAGGTCGCTCTGGGCGCTTTCAAGCCTTAAAGGAAGTTTGTAGGAATCCACCATTATACTTACAAAGTGATACGTAGCATTTTCCGTCAGTATAAAGATGTGCATTTTCCATGCACTGACATTTTCCTTCCTTACAAACGGCATATATCGACAAGTTTTTGTGGCACTGGATATCTATTTCACATGGCTCATTGTAACCAACATCTGTAGAAGGATAAAGTAACCGCATAGATCATTAGTTCATCACCCATTCATTACCTGCGATAACAGTGCAAGAACTATCTTCGCATCTGCTCGGAAAGATATTCTGATTAGGCTTTTTGCACAAGCTTAATAAACACGAAAAACGATCAAAATATTTTTCTGCAGAAGCGAAGATACTATAACTAGCCAGGTAGTCGACGGCCAGCATCCGCACGAGTATCACGTTACTTTAAAAGTGACATTATGCCTATTTTTTTTTGACATTATGCTGTTTTTTTACATTATGTAAGTTTTTCTACAAGATATTAACTTAACACTTAGGCCCGTATCGTCAGTCGTCCCTACAATTGTAGGGCGCGTTTATGGCCTCCTAGATTGTCATACTATTTTCTCTCCTTCAAAAATGTCTAGATTACACTCGTCCCGTGTCAGCGTCAGCGCTCTCCTATTGTGAAGATATGTTTTCCTTTTAAATTGTAGGAAATTTCAGGCTGATAAAACATGATATAACTCAAAAGCAAGCACAATTTGATGCAAATAGATGTTTGTGACATAACCTCAAAATAGAGCGTTGACAAGTATAAAACTATGACAATCAAGGAGGCCATAAACGCGCCCTACAATTGTAGGGACGACTGACGATACGGGCCTTAGTTGTATGTGTTGCCTAAACATCATGAGGCTTGTTATCAATCTTTGGCTCTGATGTGATGTAAAATTTGCTTCTGAGATGGCATTACTGGAGGTCTAAGCTGTGAGTTGTATGTGTTGATGATAATTACATTAATTTCTTGTCTCAAATACACTTAATTGAGATTCAAAGCCAGTTGCGCATTCACTTTTTCTTATCCATTCTGGAAATTACATATACAAACTTGCTGAATTTCAAAAATGAGAGAGATAAGAAATAATTATCTTCACTGTACACTGTCGAATTACAAGCCATATACATGCTAACAGTAGTTACACACAACGCGGACGCAGTAATGATTTTCTCACACAGCAAATATCATACACAATACATATAATCATACTCTTCTCAGAGATAAAAACTACAGACACGGATCACTCAGTCTCACATAACTATGCAACCAATAATGCGTGTTGAGTGATTCATTGATAGATGGACGTTCACAACGATCCTAGTGAGCAAACGTTGAATGACTGTTTGCGCCCTAAAAGCCACCTAGTCTGCAATTTGACATCTTATAGGTTTTTTTTGACGTTTTGTAGGTTTTTTACATGATACCCATGAGGTATGATGATGTTGAGTGACACTTTCAAATCGCCTGCACAATCGCGTCGTACTCGTAAACTGCAAACTCTCATTTCATCGCCTAAAAATTTATATAGTATAGAGAGAACAGAAATGCAACAAGAAGAATCTGATACGGACAGTGACTAAGTTTAAGTAACTCAAAAACCGCAATTTTTTACGCAAAACAGAAATGGCCTTTAGTCATATGCTTTTGATTTTTTAGTTTCCTGTGATATTTCTTTAAGACTGCGTGATAAATGTTCTGTTGTTTGACAGTTATTGGTAATATTGTATTGGTTTTTATAGTCAAATGTTTTTTTTATTTCAGTTTTATGTTATATTTATCACGCTGACGATAAACACCGGGGTAATGGAAAGTAGCGGAGATTTTCGATACCAGTAGCGGGATTTACAATGTTCGCTCTGGCAACACTGATTGATTCCGTGTAAAACAAGGCCTATTCACCGCTGACCGCAACGGTAACTAAGGGATGATGGCTGATTAATAACACTGGACAACAAATTTTAGTTTTTTAATTGTATCTTGTGGGAAAAGTGCACTTCTTTGTTCATTTTTGGGGCGCTGAATCCAAAAATGACAATGAAATAAAAAAATTAGTTGCGGTTTAGAAAAAAACTTTTTATTTTTAAGGATATATTAAAAAAACTAACAGATTTCATATACTTATAAGAATCACTATATGCGCTGTCTTTTTGCTGTTCTTTTATGGAATCGTTTCTGGAGCATCTCTACCAAGAGTCAACAGTAGTCTGCAAGCAGGGAAGGATTCCACTTTCCCTGGTACCTTTTTTCCATTGTTGAAATATCCTGATGAAAACGTTCGCCGTGCTCATCACTTACGGCTCCGCAATTGTCAGGAAAAAGTCCAGGTGTGAGTGTAGGAAATGTATCTTAAGAGACATATTACAGCCCATCTTTTGATACGATGACAGCATATTTTTGACAAGGGTTTTATAGTTGTCAGCTTTTCTATTTCCCAAGAAATTAGTGACCACCAGACGGAATCATTCCAAGCAGTTTTTCAATACCTGTTAAAGTGTTTCAAACTGTGTATCTTTCAAAAATATTTCGAATCTGTGGCCCAACAAAAATACCTTCTTTAACCTTTGCCTCACTTAGTCTTGGAAATTTCTGACGCAGGTATTGAAAAGCTGACCCATCTCTATCTAATGCCTTGACAAAGTTTTTCATTAGGCCCAACTTGATATGCATGGTGGTAATAATTTTTTTTCGAATCTACTAATGGCATATGCTGTACATTTTTTGACCTGGCTCTAGGATTGACGAACATGCCAGTTTTGTCTGGTGTAATGAAGTGCCTTTGCCTGACTGTCCCATTCACACAAAAAAACAGCAAAACTTTGTGTAGCCTAGCTGCAGCCCAAGTAAAAGTGGCAACAACTTTCAAATCGCCACAAATATGCATGGTGCTCATCGTATTTTATGCATGTCAATAGGTACTTTATATTGTCCATATGATTCTTCATGTGCACTGCATACCCTACAGGAGAGATGGTAAAATATTTCCATATGCAATAACACTGCCTTTAAACTCAATGTTGAACTGTCTATAAAACAATCTCCATTCTTCTGGGTTATAGTTTATATTTAAAGCCGCCAGTAAGCCGTTAATGTTACTGCAGAAAACCAAGGTTATTCTCATATTGAAAAATGGTTCTAAGTCTTTGTGGCGTTTACGAAAAACACATACCGAAACATCGTCTTCTAACAAGTTCCACTGCTGCAGTCTTGATCCAAGTAAATCTGCCTTACATTTTGGAAGTTCTAAATCTCTTACAAGATCATTAATTCTGACTGTGTTTTGTGTTATTTTGTGCGGTTGATGGCATATCTTCTTCCTGACGAATCACTCGATCGCCATGATCTGATTCGTTTTCTGATTCGCAAGTGTAGGATTCTGGGGTTTTGGAATAGGATTTTCGTCACTGTGAGGCACAGGTCTCATCGCAGATGGTATGTTTGGGTAGTTGATAACCGATTTTTTTTTTCTTGGACATTCCTGTGGCTTGTCCAACACAAGGTACATGCAAAAGTAACATCATTAATATGATTTGTAGGCCTCTCTCCAAACCATTGGGACAGCAAAGCGCATAGACCGTTTTTTGCCATTTAACCAGCTCCTCAGACTTGAAGCACATGTATTACAGCAGATGTGGGGTGCCCACTGTTTGTCTTGATCACCTAGTTTACAACCGAATAAGCTGATGGCCTTGGTTATTAGTGGAGTAATAGAGTCTGAGACGCAAAAGTCACATCACCACACACGTAACAAACTGATCTGGATTGTTTACACACTTTCGAGACATCTTGCATGAACGCTGTCAGCCAACTGAGGAAAAATGGCTAATATTAAACAATATAATGTACCACGTATGTATAAACGTAACACAATCATGCCGATTACATCATCTTCCTTGCCGAATATAAAAATGTAGCACGTGCATTCTTGTGAATTACATATATTACACTGTCCACAGCAGGAACACATATAATTACCGTATCTCTAAAACTTGAACTAATATTGAAAAAATAACTTTCATTCGGTTTTAGCACATTAAAAATAGTAATATTTTGTTGATTTTATTTAGGATATTTTTTGGCTGTTGATCAGTGTAATCATTTAATCAAAGGCGTTGTGATTGTGAACTCGGAAGTTAAAAAGTGGGTGCTGCTTGTCCATCCAACATTTATCTATGATTCAAGAGTGTAACCAGTGTCAGAAACGCGATATCACAAAAATGTGATGTGTAATTTTACGCTTCCACTGGTAACTTGGACAAAATAAAAGTACATTTGCTAAACATTCTATCAGACGGAAAAGTTCATCTTCCCAACATTTACTCTCACACAGCTTGGCATAGATTCGAATTTTAGCAAGATTGAATAACACAATGAAATAACGTTCAAAATGTAATACTTACATTTGAGACAAGAAAAGTGAGTTGCGTTTCCCTTGTCAACAGTTCGAAATCTTCCGCGCATTTGCAGTTTCCCCAGTTGCCCCGCGTCGTTGCCATAACAAAAATGAGTTGTTGCTGATCTTGACACAATCAGCATCGTTTCTGCACCTCGAATAAGCAACTGCAATATACGAGAATTAAGTGGACTCAGTACTTACCTAGTGGACGTACGTTCTGTTTTTTAAATCGAATACCAGACTCCTGACGAATGATTAAGCATAGTTTTGCAAACTGACAAGGAAACCGTCTCAGGAATCGACTTCGGTTTTGATGGGCTTTCGATATGCTATTTTACGTCAAAATCTAAGAGACATGTTAGGGATGAAATCATCAGACAAAGTTTTTGATTGATTGTATATCAATATCAATGTTGTCCTCAATATGAGTATATTAAAGCAAGATTCAGGCAGACACCTGACACAGTTTCCTTGTGAGCATAGTTTATCATAGATTATTCGATGATAAGATATATTTCAGAGATGAGTCAATACAAATCGGTTGTCACCCAATTAGTTCTTAATTACTTAGTATGGTTTCGAGGAAATTAGTTAGAAAAGCATGAATATGATGTAGATAGCAATTAGCGAACGAATCTGGATCTTGGTTCAAGAAACTTGCGAGCAGCATGTCCAGATAAGATAGCATTGACCTCAAAGTGTACATCTAAGTAATTAAAATACTTACCGATTTGTTCCAACTGCTGCGCGCCACAGCAGCACGCCACGCAGACCACCAAAAAACACGAAAAAGTTCATGTTGAAAAAATAGAATTGATTTTTCAGTGCGTCGAATCTATACTATCCTAATTGTTGTATGTAGGTACACCTTCCAGTTAGATAAAAAAGTATCACCATATAACAGATAAGATACCGATATATGCCAAGTCTATGTATCATATACCAACAGTCATATTTTCGTGAAACGCCTAATGGTGTTAAGTCAACTTTGTTATAGAGGTTTAATCGCAGAAAGCACACAAAGTGAATCACATATCAAAGGTATGATTGATGACTTGCGCAGCAACAATTTGATACCGTCACGAGGCGATAAACGCAATTTAACGTTTTCGTTCTTTGGCCTACCCGAGACGATGCTGACGAGTGGCCAGAAAGCGCGAGACAGCTGTTCGTGGTTGGCCGTTTGTGGTCGGACAGATGGAGGCTATATTACTAGCATCTTAACGTATTAATAATAACACTGATCAACAGCCAAAAAATATCCTAAATAAAATCAACAAAATATTACTATTTTTAATGTGCTAAAACCGGAATGAAACTTATTTTTTCAATATTAGTTCAAGTTTTAGAGATACGGTAATTATATGTGTTCCTGCTGTGACAGTGTTAATATACTGTAATTCACAAGAATGCACGTGCTACATTTTTATATTCGGCAAGGAAAGATGATGTAATCGGCATGATTGTGTTACGTTATACATACGTGTACATTATATTGTTTTATATTAGCCATTTTTCCTCAGTTGGCTGACAGCGTTCATGCAAGATGTCTCGAAAGTGTGTAAACAATCCAGATCAGTTTTGTTACGTGTGTGGTGATGTGACTTTTGCGTCTAAGAGACGGTCCATTACTCCGCTAATAACAAAGGCATATCAGCTTTATTTCGGTTGTAAACTAGGTGATCAAGACAAACAGTGGGCACCCCACATCTGCTGTAATACATGTGCTTCAAGTCTGAGGAGCTGGTTAAATGGCAAAAAACGGTCTATGTACTTTGCTGTCCCAATGGTTTGGAGAGAGCCTACAAATCATATTAATGATTGTTACTTTGCATGGTACCATGTGTTGGACAAGCACAGGTATGTCCAAGAAAAAAAAATCGGTTATTAACTACCCAAACATACCATCTGCGATGAGACCTGTGCCTCACAGTGACGAAAATCCTATTCCAAAACCCCCAGAATCCTACACTTGCGAATCAGAAAACGAATCAGATCATGACGATCGAGTGATTCGTCAGGAAGAAGATATGCCATCAACGTCAAGAGATCCTGATTTTATACCGAGCACGTCATGCCACCAACCGCACAAAATAACACAGTCAGAATTAAAGGATCTTGTAAGAGATTTAGAACTTCCAAAATGTAAGGCAGAGTTACTTGGATCAAGACTGCGGCAGTGGAACTTGTTAGAAGACGATGTTTCGGTATGTGTTTTTCGTAAACGCCACAAAGACTTAGAACCATTTTTCAATATGGAGAATAACTTGGTTTTCTGCAGTAACATTAACGGCTTACTGGCGGCTTTAAATATAAACTATAACCCAGAAGAATGGAGATTGTTTATAGACAGTTCAACATTGAGTTTAAAGGCAGTGTTATTGCATATTGGAAATATTTTACCATCTCTTCCTGTAGGGTATGCAGTTCACATGAAAGAATCATATGACAATATGAAGTACCTATTGACATGCATAAAATACGATGAGCACCAATGGCATATTTGTGGCGATTTTACTTGGGCTGCAGCTAGGCTACACAAAGTTTGCTGTTTTTTGTGTGAATGGGACATGCATAAAATACGATGAGCACCAATGGCATATTTATGGCGATTTGAAAGTTGTTGCACTTTTACTTGGGCTGCAGCTAGGCTACACAAAGTTTTGCTGTTTTTTGTGTGAATGGGGCAGTCGGGCAAAGGCACTTCATTACACCAGACAAAACTGGCCTGTTCGTCAATTCCTAGAGCCAGGTCAAAAAAATGTACAGCATATGCCATTAGTAGATTCGAAAAAAATTGTATTACCACCACTGCATATCAAGGTGGGCCTAATGAAAAACTGTCAAGGCATTAGATTAGATAGAGATGGGACAGATTTCAATACCTGCGTCAGAAATTTCCAAGACTAAGTGAGGCAAAGGTTAAAGAAGGTATTTTGTTGGGCCACAGATTCGAAATATTTTGAAAGATACACAGTTTGAAAACACTTTAACAGGTATTGAAAAAACTGCTTGGAATGATTTCCGTCTGGTGGTCACTAATTCTTGGGAAATAGAAAGCTGACAACTATAAGACTCTTGTCAAAATATGTTGTCATCGTATCAAAAGATGGGTTGGTAATATGTCTCTTCTAAGATATATTTCCTACACTCACACCTGGATTTTTTCCTGACAATTGCGGAGCCGCAAGTGATGTGCACGGCGAACGTTTTCACCGGATATTTCAACAATGGAAAAAGGTACCAGGGAAGTGGAATCCTTCCATGCTTGCAGACTACTGTTGGACTCTTGTAGAGATGCTCCAGAAACGATCCATACAAGAACAGCAAAAAGACAGCGCATATAGTGATTCTATAAGTATATGAATCTTGTTACTTTTTTTAATATATCCTTATAAATAAAAAGTTTTTTTTCTAAACCGCAACTAATTTTTTATTTTATTGTCATTTTTGGATTCAGCGCACCAAATTAACAAAGAAGTGCACTTTTCCCACAAGATACAATTAAAAAACTAAAATTGTTGTCCAGTGTTATTATTGGCTTTTCATTGTTATGCCAGATTTTGATTCTCTGTCTTGTATTGGTGTTTTAAAAATTCTGTTGAGCAATTAATGCTATTATTATTATCATCAGGATAATAGATTTGATCGTCAATAGGTGGGCCTTTTGCCGTCGTTCAAGGAATACTTCACAAGAAGTTATACTCAAAATGATGAATGATGCGGTGAGAAAAAGTAATCCATATAACATATCACGATGAGGCACACCTAGAAATGATAAGTTTTCCGAAGGAAAATCCGACATAGAGGCCTTGTATTCTCGTACGGCGCACCGACGAAGTCAATTCATCATCAGCTCAACAGGCAGCGTTTAGAAAGTAGGCGAGCTGCCTAAACGAGTGCAACGAATCCAACTACTGATTCCATTATCGCTGAACGGCGATCTCACCTGGGAGATCAGTCTAACGTCAAAACGATAATTATTCCTTATTCCCAAGTGACCCGTACCGATGATGTCGGCCGCTACCCGCAAGGCCATCCCACTTCCATGGACCCGCTTATAGACCCGTCAATATGAACAAAGTCCGCACTGGCAGGCTGAACATTGGTTATGTTCACCTTTATAAGAACCGGTTGTACCAACTGGTTCAACTTGAGTCTCGTTCAATGGAAAGTTAAAGGTATACTTTATCTGAAGTCACTTGAACAATGTGAAATACCGGGTGCGTTTTATATATCTATATTTAACACGCTCTGTTGCTGCAAAAATCGCCAAATTTCGCAGCAAATATCCCCTGTATAAGATCAAAGGCAGTTTCCACCGGTCCACGTGGAGTAAAGCACGCCTATGTGTAGACATAGCCAATGAGAAAGGTGTATTTCAGAGCTCCGAACAGAGTGCAGGTGGCTACTGAAAATTGAAACAGTTTAGCCAAGTGCCGTGTAGCGGTGAATAAACGTGTTTTCTTAGTCTGTCCGTGTTTTTCCATAGATTTTATTAGTTTGTGTGTTTTTGACTTTTGAATACTCAGTTTACTTGTTGATTTTAATTGTTGTGTTGATGTTCTTGTGTGTCCTAAATAGAGACCTTGGGAAAATGCTCCAAAGCCACGAGGAGATAGTTGATGATCCTGTGCAGGCAGAATCTTTCATAAAGATTTAGAGGAACAGACCCAAAGAGTAATCCTAAATATGTATTGTCTGAAAAACGAAAATCCAGATTCCTCGCAAAATCAAATTTTTAAACAGAATTTGTATCCTGACAAAAATCAGTCGGTCTAAACATTTATCGGGTTATAAAAAGGGGAGATGTAGTCAACCACTCCTTCCACAGAAAGCGCATAGGGCAAAAATTAAAAAAGAATAGACGTGGGTTTTCAGGAAGATATTCGTCGTATAATATACGGATTTTATAAAGAAAATTTGGTGCCCACGTGGAAATGATACGGGATAAATTAAAAGATTATCCTGAAGATTTTTATAATTACAAATCCTTAGACTCACTGCACTGTATTGTAAAACTGTGTGGTTTTCAATACAAAAAATTAGATAAAAGAATGGTGATTATGGAGTCGTCTCGAATCGTTGAATTGCGCCAAGAATTTTTGCACAAAGTTAAAATCTATAGAGAGCAGAAAAGAAATCTGATTTACCTGGATGAAACGTGGTATGATACCCATGATGTTGTGCAGTACGGCTAGGTTGACGACAGCAACAAGTGCATTTTAAATGCATCATGCAACCGTGGAAAACGAATCATTATTCTCCATGCTGGCAGTGAAAATGGATTTATACCTAATGCCTTGCTGTTATCTGCCAAAAATATCAAAGAATCATGTGCCGACTATCATGAGGATATGACCTCCGACTTATTTGAAAAGTGGATAGAGCAGCAGTTAATACCAAACATTTCCTCAAATTCAGTGATTATTATGGAAAATGCGCCATACCATTCCCGACAGAAAAACAAAATTCCGAATACAGGCACAAAAAAACAAGACATTATTGATTTTATGAAGGACAAGGGAATGGAAATACCACAATAATCAACCAAAGCCATATTATTGGATCTTATTAAAGACAAAAATTTGAAAAAGAGTATGTTGTTGACAATCTGCTTCAGCAAAATGGCCATGAAGTATTACGTCTACCTCCCTATTACTGCATTTTTAACCCGATTGAGTTGGTCTGGGCTGCTTTAAAAAAAAAGTAAGAAAACATAATCAGACCCCTCAATTAAGTGAATCGCTATTGGCCACAATAAAGCATCCCACAAACCGGCGCGAAATATTCGCTTTGGATGCGAAAATTTCGCGGCGATGAATTCGCGATCAGATTAAAACGCGGCGGTTTACGGACAGGCTCAGACTTGTGCGAAGCGAATGCGATTGTTCCAGCGTTTTTATCGCGGCGTATTTCAGTTCGCCTTTGACCGCGTTTTTGACGCCGTTCTTCAAAAATTCGCAATGGCAAAAACGGAATTATTGATAGAAATAGTGAAAAAGTATCCTTGTTTGTATGATTGTCGAACGAAGAATACAGGAATGTGAGAAAGAAAGACAATATTTGGATGGAAATAGGAAAAGAATTAAATACAAATGGTATGTACCTCATATTTTTTATTAACTTGTTAAATAATTTACAGTCTACACAAATGTGAAAACGAACATTCTATATATTGGGCATAGGCATATCAGAATTAAAATAATTTACGAATTTGTCACGAGTAGAAAATGCTAGCCTTGCTGCCGCCGAGGATCATTTGCTATATCAGTAAAAGCTCCAGGCACGGGTTCTGGGGATCTAAGAATTGAAAATATTTGTCATCGCCACTTTTACTTCGTAAAAAATTGTGTAAAACACATGCCGTACGTACAATTAGAATAGTAGTATCTACTTTAGTTTCTAATGGCCTGTAAAATATTCGCCATTTTTGAGACAAAATACCAAACGCATTTTCCACGACCCTTCTAGCTCGACAAAGTCTTACATTGTATTTCTCTTTTCTGACGTCTGTTAAAGTCTGCTTATAAGGAAATGGTCTCATAAGGTATGGTTTTAAAGCAAATGCTTCATCACCAATTAAGACGTACGAGCAGATTTCATTTTGCCCAGGGAGAAATCTAGGTGCAGGGACACTCATTAAATTTTGTTCAAATCGTTTTCCCATGTTTGAGGTTTCGAAAATACCCCCATCACTATTTTTTCCGAAACCACCAATATCAACACATATAAATTTATAGTCCGGGCCAACAATGGCCATAAGTACTATTGAATATTTATGTAAATAGCACCAGTAATTGGAGCCACTGTTGTTAGGTCTCTTGATTGTTACATGTTTACCGTCCACGCTGCCAATGCAATTGGGAAACCCCATCTATTTTGAAATTCTTCAGCACATTTTTTCCATATATTCTCTGTTGGTTCTGGTAAATATATATGCTCCATATGTCTGCATATCGCTTCACAGACTTCGGTTACGATTGCACTCACTGTTGTAAAGCCAACTCGAAAGCTATGCCCAATGGTATAGAAGGTGTCACCAGTGGCAAGGAATCTATAAAAAAAATCGTTTTTAGGTGATGAAGTAAAAAAAAGGTGGAAGAATATCAGAGACACATTTGCAAAATATATAAAATCTACCAAACCAAAGACCGGCCAAGCAGTGGGCAACATAAAGAAATGGCAGTGGGCTGACTACATGGAATTTTTCCGTCTTTTTTTGGCATTTGCCAAAACGTCGTCTAATGTGAAAGATATTGACGTCATACATTATGAGACTGCCGAATTTAACTCAAATATATATCAGGAAAGGGCTGGAAATGTAGAAACCGAAAATTTGGAAGACCGCGGCCATGGAGAAGATGAAAATGCTGATGTAGATGCAGAAGATGCACAGAACGCCTCGGCAACACAGACAGCACCACCTTCTTCATTGAACACTACAGCAGTGACTAACTACTCCAGGGCACAGACTGCAACTACACCAAAATATAAAACGAGCAGAAAACGCTATGAACCACCATCTTCGTCTGTACAACAGCTCATTGATTATTTTGAAGGTAAAAAACCTAAAAAAGAGAACGAGGCCACTGATTCACTTTTCTTGGCACATGCACAGACTGTGAAAACACTTCCCTTAAAGCGTCAAGCCCGAATAAAACTAAAAATAGCCGAATTAATAGCGCACGAAGAATTTGAACATATTGAAGAAATGTCTTCAGCGTCTACCCAGAATTCTGCAAGTATGTATGATAGTAGTATGTCGTCCTTCCCAAGCGGCACTGGGTTTACTTCAATAATATACCCAACAGAGGAGGCAAATTCTGCCTCGAATTATTTAGCAACATTTAATCCTAGTGGCAACATGTAGTCCAATTATTACAATAAATATTTATTTCACGATCCCTGAAGTTTTCGTATTCGATAAGCTAATTTTAATACATATAATTTTTTTACCTGAGTGTAATAGCAAGTCGTTCTTTTGGCGAAATAGCTTCACGATAATTTGTGTCAGATTTTCGTATTTCATCTTTCACCAAGTTCAATATTTCATCGAAACACTCTGGAGTCATTCTAAAATATACGTAAAAGCGCTGTTCATCCAGCCGAAGTTGTGGCATCAAGGTATGGTATTCCCCAAATTTATTTCGTTCCAAGTTAATATCATGTACCCACTTCCTTCGTTTCCTAAACAAAATTGAAAATATTTGTTTTATGTACTTCGTTAAACTTAATACATACCCAACTATCAAATGGCGTTAAATAAACATAACTTACCGTGCATTTTGTTCCCCTTCTAAAGCAAGAAATAGAAGTGCCTCCTCTTCTTCTGAAGACGAGCTCATTGCAAAAGGCAAAAATAAAATGTACGCAACCTGTCGAAACCTTCACGTTCGCGGAGCGAATAAGACGCTTTGGTATGAATAAACAGGCGAAACAGATTGCGAATTTCGCTCTGAATTTCGTTGCGAATACTTCGCCGCGATTATTTCGCGCCGGTTTGTGGGATGCTTAAGAGATGCAGTATCTCATATTGCTGCCACAGACCTATGGAAGCAGTGTTCTAGGCATATTATTGAAAAAGAAAATGAATATTATGTTTTGCCTCCTGTAAATCCCGTTGTAATTCCTCTACAAGATGACTCTAGCGACAGCTCCGAAGGCGAAGATGATATATAAATACCTATAATGTAAGTCTTTATATACCTTTTTATATACCTACCTGTTATGTAAATATTTGCCTATATCAAACGTTGGAATTCTGTAATTTTTCCATTTCTTAACTTTCAGTCAACATAAGTTAAACTCCCAATATAAGTATTTTTTATCCCAAATCAAAAAAATAAGAAGATAGTAAAATCCATTTATTGTGATATAAAACATTATTATTATCGTTCTAAATAAATGACCGCACGCCTATGATACGTCATGAAATTACTAAGGACGCGCCGACCAAAGGTTTTTATGCTATTTCAAGTGACTTCAGATAAAGCATACCTCTGTTTAATGTCAAGTTCAGGCTAGGTTTTCATAGCTTTATGATAATCGTTGCAACAGGTATGTAGCCTTAGAAAAGTTGTTTTATTTAAATTTTTGACATGCTCAATGAATCTAAATTTTGTATGGTATGGTAAAATATTTGAGTTGTAGCTTTTGATTGTTTCTTTGAAGTATCAGATGAGATGTTACGTCGTGCCTTTTTCTAACAGCACAAAGCAGGTGAATTGTTAATTGTCCTGAATTAATCTTCAAGCGGTGGTTAAAACTGTATTAAGTTGAGTACCACCTAGGAATGATTGGATAACCGAATTTTCAACAATTTTGCCTATTTCAAAAATATAAATTGACAATAATAGGGGCCTTGACACCTTGGAGTACACCCGAGGGTATCTTTGAGGTTGGATAAACTTTGAGGCGTTTAGTTTTCAATTTTTGAAAATTCACAGACTTCTGGCCTTCGATGATGTCTTGGTGTTTCCTGTTCAGATTCAACATAGAAAAAGTATAAGCTACCAAAGTTCAGTGTCATATTCCTGCACTATGAAATAGTGCGTTTAGCGCCTGGCCCACCTTCCATCTTTTTAACGAGCTCTTTCCTGCTTGGTTCATTTGTTAACGTCAGCGCGGACGTTCAAGGAAAATATATAGAACGCCGCCGGAAAAAGATGTCTTTTCATTAATAACATACTGCTTATTATCGCTAGACAGAACGTTCATGGTTGTTCCTCGGCTGAGGACAACCAACGATGCACATGATGTGCATGATCTCTAATTACGTCGTGTCTGGCAGTTTTTCTTTCTGGATACCATACTGTTTGTGCCATAAAATCACGTAGATAGCGAATGCTGGTTCCCGTTGTATCAAAAAGAAATATATTGTAAGACTTAACTTGCTGTTGAAAGGCCGAGACTTGGCGTCAGACTACAATAAATAGGGTTGCAGATAGGTTGCAAATTGTTAGCTAGCAATTTATTCATTTGCTTAATTTACGGGTGGAAAATAAAATCACATACCTCTTAATGCAGGAGTGGGTAAAAAATGTCAATGTCAAACTTAACCAAATTGATAAAACGAAGTTCCCTATTGACTGGAGACTGCTGGCCATAACCTTTCAGATGGGACTTAATCGCAAACAGATTATTATTACACAATTAATGTACAGGGTACATTAAAATTCATCACAACAAAGTTTTGCAATCTGTGAGACACAACAAAATCTTGGAAGCAAAACCATCAGAGACCTGTTCCAACATGTCAGCTCTATGATATTTAGAGTGGGTACCACCAATATTAATATTTGTCGAATTAAATGCAATTTGACAGAAGCTGTCAAAGCTCTCTGAGTATCAGCGATTTCTATTGAAATATTGTATAAAATCGTGAAAAAGCGATTGTATTATAAACAAGAGCACTTTTTGATTCCAACGTGATGCTTTTGTACGGATATAATAGGATAACTTCCACGTATTTTGCTATTTCTTATCAAACAACAAATAATGGTAGAATCTATTGCCCAGCCAATGGGAATGTTACATATTATAGGCCGATTTTCTAGCTGTTATATTTAATAACATGTTTTAACTGTTTATGACGACTGTCACGATGCATGGCAATCTAGTTTTGTCTCTATTTCACATACAGGGTATTGTACATAATACGTACATGTAGAAATGTACCGATTTTGTTTTATTTTGTAAAAAAAGGATATAAAATATTTACCATCCTTTGTTACATCAAACACAATTTATTACCAATTTATGATCTAGAAGGCACACCAAAAATAAACAAACAGCACATTCTATATTCCTGGGTACTGGCACATCGATATTTGTAAATGTATCCGCATTCACCTATTATTCATCCTCTTGACATTGTAAGTCAGAATCAAAAATACCTTATTAAGAAAATATTTGCAAAACTTGTTGTTATATCTCATTTTTATTTGATCTGGAGCACGTCTAGAATCTCAGTTGCTTTTGGAGTGTTCTGGAGTGTTGTCGAACCGAAAGAAAAAAACGGAATCAGTAAATAGTGTCGTTGAATTCGGTAGGAGAGAAAATCTGGGCCGTCGCGAGTTCAGTGGTGAATCAAGGGCATTTGTGTCACGCAGCGCCGTCTATGAGAAAAGTTTATTACTGTATTGAGCGGGCGTTTTTATAGTTGTATATTACCACTTGTATAATGTGCATATACTGCTACTCTTTCAAACTCCTTTCCAACCATCCTGGAAACTTCTCCTTCCATTCTTGCCTATAGGATTATACAGGGTGTCCGCAAAGTTGGGGTTTTCCTTTACACGACGTGTAGATCTTGAAAAGATAAGCATTTTTTCTTAGTACCATATACACCAATGTCTTAAGGGAACCGAGATAAACGGCTCTGCAACATCAAAATATCTGAATACCGTCCTGTAGCCCCGACATCACCGACTGGTACAAGGTCACTGACTCAACCCGACGACAGAACTAGGTCGCGGTCAGTGTGTCAGGTCAGTATGCAACCTTCAACCGACGGTTACGGTCACGCGTGTAGAGGTAATCGCGCAGACGAGAATCCCCCAACAAGCACTAGAGACGTGGCTAGAGAAGTGCAAGTATCAAAAACTAAAGTGTGGCAAACGCTGCGTGAAGAGGGGCTGTATCCGTTTCACGTCCAACGTGTACAAGCCCTTCAACCTGACGATTTTCCAGGAAGAGTGCGGTTTTGTGAGTGGTTGTTGCATCAACATGACAATAATCCGGACTTTTTGAAGTGCATATTGGTGACAGACGAATCTACGTTCACGCGTAATGGGGTGAATAACTTTCGCAACATCCGCACGCAGTCCGTCGGGCACATTTTCAACAAACATTTTCGGTGAATGTTTGGGCTGGCATGGTGAGCGGTATGCTCATTGGACCACTTATTCTCCCAAATCGATTGGACGGGATGCAATACCTAGACTTTTTACGCAACATTTTGCCTTCCTTGTTAGAAGATGTGCCATTAAGTGTAAGATAATCAATGTGGTTTCTGCGTCTGCTCGATAGCGCTTCAGCTGATTTCATTTTCTGTTGGAGCGGTATGATTTCGGGCAGAGACGTACTTAGCACTTCTCGTCAACTGGAGAGTGAGGACTTTTTCCTTTATTTTTTTTACTTTTTCGCCCTCGTTTCACTACACATTACCTTTGTTATTTCAAGGGTAGTTGTTTCTGAAAAGGAAAACCCCACCTTTGCGGACACCCTGTATATATTAGATAGCCTCAATTCTATGTACATCCATTCATATTCGTCAATATTTCAGTTGAAGCTCCCAGATTTTAGCAAAATATAAAATGGTAAATGAAGGTAGCGAAAATATCCAGTAGGCTGTCATCACCGCCGCTCAGTTGACAAGAACGACAGATGTCAAGAAATCTGTATAGCCCTTTGCGTTTTCTCAAGGGTTGTGGAACAATTTCTGGAAAAGTTCCACTACGGAAAGTCTTATAAAGCATAGGAGAGTAAATTTAAACAGTTGGCTGGGTTTGCTCCACTGCGACTAAGCCGGTTAACGAATTTGAAAAGATGATAATTCAAACGACCGGTTATTTTTGCCATCCCTAGTTTACTGCTTCAATTCATAAAATATAGTCTGGAATGTGTAGTGCATGAAAAAAGAAAAGTATTGCAAATTGTAGTTTTTGTAATTTTAGTTTTGCTGGTAGCTTTACGACATATATTTGGGTATTTCTCAACAATAGTAATAAAAAACATAAATTTTATCCAAAAATCAAACATTTTTTCAAATTCTGACTGAACTATATGTAATTTCTTAAGATTCAATAAGCTGGTTATGATTCAATGACAAGCTGTCATCTCATACTTTGACAATGTCTTGTTTTCAAAATTTCACACCTATCGGACGTGAAAATTTGTCGAATGGATCTTGAAGCTCATTCGCTATATTTTACGGACTTTTACCCTATTGGTGGAAATAACGGCTTATTGATTTGGGTCTTCCACCCTAAGCCTGGTAACGAGGCACTACTGTGGTATACTCTATATTTCACATTACCACGGAGCAGTATAAAATACTGTGCAGGTCAATTGTTGATCAGGTTTTTGGCGAGTTATTCATTTTAGTATGATAATAACGAGTTATGTCTTATGAAGAATCCAACAGTCTTGATTTAGAACAACTTCAGCATTTTATATTATTGTGAAGAATCATATTACTATCTTTCAGGGGTTGAGTTGACAATTCGCTTACAAACCAAACTAATTCACAACAGCAAACTAACGGCCAATCTATCCATTTCATGCAGCGACCTAACGCTTATCCTCATCAGAAACTGTTTAAGCCACGTCAGCCATTGCTTCCATGATATCTTCCCAAACCATTGCACCTCATGCTTTTCTCCTTCCACTACTACATACTCAAACTCTTCAAATCTTTCTCAACAGAATTCAGTCATAATCCTCTAAGAGTGGATTTCACCAACATTAATATTTGACGGTCACTTGAACCAAGGGGAAAAGCTCTCTGAATATGAATAGTGATTTTTGTTGAGTTATTGAATAAAACAACCCTTGGAGAGTTGTTTTGCCGTTCTGGTATCAGGCATTCTGCATATGTGTCCTGACCTCCCTTAATCGCGCCTCTTGGGCTAGAGTCGAGAGTTTGGAACCTTTATAAAGTCCATTAAAATATTCGTTGGTATCTTTTCTCCAGTTTTTGTTTCACTACTCCATAGGTTTTTCTCAATATTTTTTCGACGTTCTTGTTATATATCTCTAGATTTAACAATACTCACTTACTACTACATTTCTTTTACCTAGCTTATACTTATTTCCTCTTATCTATGGTACACCGAGGCATTCAGGCTTTTCAATCTTTTCAGTATTTATTCCCAGTCTTCATCTACTTTGCTCAAAATGCTCCTAAATGCATACAACTTTTTCCGAAAGTTCCCTTCCTTCAATTATTCATAGTCTAAATAGTTCTGCTTTTATCCGTAAACTCTGAATGAACTTTTACCAGTTCTTTTTTTTGTCCTTGATACCAAGACAATATTGACGGCATAGGCAATGCCTTCTCGTTGAAAGCAACACAAATATTCCACTGCTTTGTCGGTTCGCTTTAATAATTTTTTATTCGAAGGTTGAACAGTGCAGTTGGTATACGATCAACTTGCTGTTGCATCTGGGCTGCTTCACTTAACAACAACAATTTACTGTCTTCATTGACAATGTGTCGTTGATAAGCCTAATCAATTTTGGAGGTATTCTGATTTCAAACTAAACCACCCAATAAAAGCAAGCTATTGATCATTCTACCTATTTAAAATAGTCACCTTACGCTTATCTCCATCCAAATCGGCAAAGACCTGTCTCTCCTCTAAACAAACCGAGTTAGTGCTGGAAACAAACGAGAAATGCCGTCTTCGTCGTCGCGGCCGCGCCGATTGCGAACACTGTTATTCACACCCAATAGCATCATTTAAAAACAATCAATGATAATATCGCTGCTGTGTGTAATTGTTCAGTTCGATTCAATAGAAACATGCTGTGCGGCGTTCCTCTTCTACTTTATAGTACTGCTGAGTACTTAGGCTGATCTGATGCTGCTGCTTTGATTTTACTCGTGAGCTTCAGACTAGAGAAATTTACTTTTACAGTTTTTTGAAACCCTGGTGTGCTTTATTATATTATAAATTTGGTGTCCGCATGATCATTTTCTCTTTGTAGATCCTTTGGGATTGAAGTACCACAACGAGTAGCTTAACCGGCCGTGTGGTTGTGGTTAGATGTCGCCTTCAAAATTCCAGGTCTTCTAGCCATTTTACACTACAATGTGTAGGTAATGGCTCTTGTTGGAGACTTCCTGCGTCGTTTTTTCAATATCGATTTTCGTTTCCTCAGGTTAGACCGGTATCCGGATGTGTGGCATGTGTATCTATTTTTGTAGTTGCATATGTGCATTCATTTCGGGACTGATGAAGCCAACCATCAGAAATACGTATCGCTCGGGTTATCTATCCCATTTTCTGCTCGAGTCGACATTCCTCCTTATTGCGGATTTTGCTCATTATTTTCCTACTTTTTGTTACATATATACTAAGTGACATATAAATCCGAACACCCAGTTTAAATGGTTTTATTTTAATAAAAGTTGGTGAATGTATTTATCTTACTGTAAATAACAAGTGAAAAAATTTTCAGCCTTATCAGTTGGACATTCCGGTTTTTATACTGCTATTTTTTAATTCACTAACGCTCTAAAAATGCATATTTCAGCCGCAGTAAAGAATCAACGTTGGCGGATTTTGGTTCTTGACATCCTTTACGATCGGTTAAGATGCCTAGAGTACGGAGACCTGTACGATTTCGTCAACTTAGTGAGTTTGATAGGGGCCGTATAGTGGGACTTCGGGAAGCTGGACTTTCTTTTCGGGCAATTGCAGTTAGAGTGCAAAGAAGTGTAGACACTGTGGTTAGGTGTTGTCAGGCATGGCTTCGAGAAGGCCGTACACAAAGAGCAAGGGGCACTGGACGCCGCCGTAGAACAACAGACCGTGAAGATCGCCGCCTAAGATTATTGGCCTTAAGGGACCGTTTCTCCACTACCAGGTCCATTGCAAATGAATGGTTTGCAGAACACGGAAGACCCATTGGCATGCGAAGTGTTTACCGACGAATGAGAAGTTTTGGCTTGTTTTCATACCGGCCACACTGGGTCCTCCCTTTAACTCGAGAACACCGACGTAATCGCCTTGAGTGGTGCAGACAACGGTCACTCTGGGATCAGGAATGGAACAGTATTGTCTTTAGTGACGAGTCTCGATTTTGTTTAGGCATGCACGATGGTCGTGCCAGGGTTAGAAGGCGACGTGGTGAAAGGAGGAATCCACAGTTTTTTGTTGAAAGACATGTTCATAACACTGTTGGAGTTACGGTTTGGGGTGCTATAGCTTATGGTTCCAGGTCACCTTTAATCTTCATCAGAGGTAACATGAACGCGCAGCGTTATATCCACGGAGTTCTAGAACCCCATCTTTTACCCTATCTTGACACCCTGGCAGATCCAACTTTCCAACAAGACAATGCCCGACCACATGTTGCAAGAGTCACAATAGACTTCTTTCAACATAATGATGTCACATCGTTACCATGGCCACCAAGATCTCCCGACTTATCCCCAATTGAGCACGTGTGGGATATGATGGGTAGGAGATTGCTCAATTTGCAACGTCCTCCTCAGACTCTAGAAGCACTTCGAGAGGAGTTGGTGGTTGCCTGGAATGAGATACCACAGGAGGACATTGACCACCTGATCAGAAGCATGCCTAGGCGCGTTGGAGAATGCGTAGCGCATCAGGGTGCATCCACACATTATTAAAGGTCAAAGGGCTTTAAAGCAGTGCAATCATTTTGGAATTTTTATCATTTACTTATTATGCTTCATTAAGTACTTATACAAAATTTTATTAAAATAAAACCATTTAAACTGGGTGTTCGGATTTATATGTCACTTAGTATATCTTGTCTGAACTTGGTGTAAACATTATTTTATAGTTGATTTTTGCTTTAGATTAATGATCAAAGCGTATTATGGTGTAAAAATATATAAGTCGGATTCTTAAAATTAAACGTTTTATTTTACACATTAGTAGTATAGTATCATCATTGGAGTAGAATTTCTTTCCGTCAATAGAAATAGTCACTTGGGGTTAAATCAGGAGAATAATGCGAGTGGGGGAGCAATACAAAGTCCAGTCCAAGCAATTTTGCCATGGAATTTACACATGTGTGCACCCTCTTAATGTCCTGATGGAAAAAAGAACCTTTTTCTTGGCCAAATGTGGCCGTTGAATTGATTCAATAAGTTGTCATAACATCCGTCAATAATCGTTCTCCCCTATGAGGGTAATCAGTGTGTCACTAAATAGCGCACTTCATTCAAAATTCGACAGGAGACAACTGACAAATGCTGGTTGACGTGAGCAGTGTTACCGTTTCACTTAAAAGGCCGGAAATTCGAAAAGTCATGGACTGTTCTGGCTTTACGATGCTACCGTGGTCAATATGAAAAAATCTCCTCAACCTCTGAGACAGGGTCCTAACCTCATCCATGTTCTCTGACAATCTTTTCCGCAGATACGATCACGCTAGTCGTCGGAACCCGTGGAGGCGCGATGCGACGTCGTCTCGCCAGCTGCAGATTTACGATTCGTTCCTGCTGCCGTGTCGGTCTGTACGACCAACAGTACCACCATCCCCGGTGATTGTGTCAACTGTTAATTAGAGCCGGCTCTTATCTCGCTCAGCAAACACAAACCAACACAGTCTGACTGTTTATTCTCCCGTCATTATTCTACTCAAGGAGTCGCTGCACTTTGTAACCCATACGGTCCAATGGTACGTCACGAGACGACAACTGTTACTTACCGAGTTTGCTAGAATACCTCTAATGCAATAAAGGTTGTTTGATGTACGAACATCCGCTTTTGCGACGCATTTCTTTGAAAAGCTAAGGCACTTAAAAGCAGAAGTCTTCGGAGCCAACTCTGCAACTAACTACTTGCCGATCAATCAAATATAATCAAGCCATTACCCTTACATCCTTCAGAACCATGATTATTAGATGTAAAGAGAAAGCTAACATATCTTACGAGATCTCTTGGATTAACAGCTTCTAAGATTAGTTTGTTGTCAGGTCTAACACCAAGTAAGAAGTCTGCTAGGGATGCACTTTGTGCAGAGGCACAGCTGCCGAACGTAGCGGATAGCGGTAACTACAGTAGTAAGAAGCTTTGTACTTTTGACATTAAGAATGTCTTTAACAATGGCAGAAAATCTTCGAATCCCTCGATAATCTAGACACCCCTAGCTATCTATTGAACATGATAAATAGCTACTTTCACGAGAAGGCACTTATGGTAGGGCAAAAGACGATGCAGGTAACAATAGAAGTGCCACAGAGCTCCGTTCTGGACCGGTTGTTGCTTTGGAACGTGTTCTACGATGGGGTTCTTCAATTACAGATGCTGCCAGGAATTAGCGTGGTTGCTGGAACCTCATCGATTGATTTTCCGGTTGCGGAGAGATGCGCACTGTATTAAAAGGGCGTCAAAGCTACAAGCGACGAAAGAGAGGTGCTTTCTGTCAGATGATAGGAGAGATGGGATGCAACTGGCCATTGTGCATGGACCAGAAGGCTGATCGCAGAAGTTAAAACTTGGATTGAGAAGGGAGCGGTAAGGATAGATTACTATACCTCACAGTTTCTGTTTGTTTTGACAGCTGCCTGAGGGGGGTAGGAAAAAGAGAATACGCAAGTTTCGAAAATTGCAAAGACGAGAAGGACACTCCTAAAAAACTACTCAAATGTGGTAGGCGGATTGACTGCCAGACATAGTTCGAACTGACGCTCTGCGAGAGGCTCCCTGCTGACAAGGAACCAATATTATTAATGGACTAATTTAGCTATTCAGCATTCCTAACCTTACTTCTATTTATGACAAATGATCAATAAAGTGTTTGTCTATATACTAGACCGCACCGGTAGAACTAGAGACTAGTTACTACACTTTGATAATTTTTGTTTGATTCTCTTTGGTAATGTTGAAGTTTGAATGAAATAAGCTACAGTCAACACAACAATTTACAAAAGGAAAAAGCCATCGCATTGGTTCTTACAGACGTTCAAGGATTCTAAATTAAAAGGAGACGTTCAATTATAAAAAGTTTAAGATGACTGGGAGAGAAAATTATTGACTAGAATACATAAGATTAAGAAACCAATCTACGAGGTGAAAAGAAAAAATATTACAATACCAAAATTGATGACAGTAAAAATAATAGCAAACATACTTCGAAGTTGAGTCATTTATTTTACCAGTGAGTAGATCTGATCAAAAGAAATGTTTTTTTCCTTTAACATTTTTGTGGTAAAATTAAAGTAACAAAGTTATAGCCCTTTAGAAGTTTGAGTACCGCCCTGTCTCAATAATAATATTATGTGCTCGTGTTTGGCAACAACGGATATAATCCGCCTTATCGGTTCATCGCATCGGAAACAAAAAAGCGAAAGAATTTGAAACGCTGATCACGATGTTTTTATTCAGTCAATGTGTCAGTCGGTAACGCGTGAGTGAATAGTGGTGTTTGCTGCGTGGCTCAAACGAAATAAAAAATGGCACATGTTTATGCGGATCGGTTTCCCAATCGAGTGCAACCAACCCCTCGTGCCTTTGTTAATGTAGTACAACGGGTTCGTGAATCAGGTGACTTAAGACCTCACAGGGGAGGGCATGCCGGTGCTCCAAGACCTCACGATCAAATACAGGTACGCACTGAAATACTTGTCGGAAGGATACTTTATAAAACAAGGTAAACATTTTTTTCTATTTTTTTTTATTTTTACACACATATTTTGGTTTATCTTCCTTCTACAATCATTATCTGAAAATTAATGACTCAACTTCAAAGTTATATATTGTTTCACCTATTAGAAGAAATACTAATGTATTTCATTTTAGATAATTCTAAAATGAAATTCGACGATGACAAATAAAAAAATAGTAGCAGATGGAATGCATACCAATTTCATAGAAAGTGTCAGCGACATTGTAAGATCAAATCAATCAAATCGCCACCAATCTACCATTAGTCCCATAACAATAATTGTTTCAAGAAGATTATATCAAAAATGAAATCAATTCAAAGTTGGAGTCAGATTTTGTCTAAGAGTGTGCGTAATGGATGTTATGATATTATTGGAGCAACAACAATAATCCTGATAAATCAGTGTTTAAAATATGGCCAATTTCGGGTACTATCATGAGCCCTGTTTCGAAAGTTAAGACTTATGGGTCGTACACCCACATGCGGCCAATAAATGTTGCCAGATGTTGAAAAAGTCATATCGAATTTATCGAAGGAAATAAAACTTTAACCTATTTTCAAGCTGGATTCAGGAAGAAACACTCAACTGAAACGGTAATACAAATGGTTTTAGAGGACTGGCGATGTATGGATAATAAGAAACATTAAGTGACAGTATTTTTGGACTTCAAATGGGCGTTTGAAACTATGTATTGGCAGGGATAAATTACTGACAAAATTGTACCGAACGTTTAGTCTGTGTCAGTCAGCACTCTTCTTGCCTAATAATATTAACGATAATGCTAAAAGATAGCCTTAAGATTGAATTATATGTTGACAGATGTCGCATATGTGATATGTGACACAGACGTTTCTTTAGCAGTGATCGAGTATATTCTCTGTATTATTCCTGAAACCACTTTCACGGCTTTATACAAAATCCAGTGTAAGAAGGGATTCCAGATTAATTACCCTTCCACATCCTGCAAAAACAATAAATTGTAATCTTGTAGCGATAACCAAATTTCCTGTATTTTGTGAGTCGCCGAGCATGAAACTGATAAGCGAACATGGTACCATGATGGTACCAAGATTTACGAAAGCCGATTTTACCGGTATCACGATTGGCCAGTATAAATTAAGCACCTATAATTTTTTAATGACCGCGACGCTTGCTGCAAGATGATGGATCACTTGCAGATGCATTTTTGTGACTAAGCGCACATATTCAAAGCTCGAAGGTCCAAATCTTCATTTGAGGAGCAGTGATGCCCAACTAACCATTACCACTCCTGTTAGGGTGGCAAGAACGTTTATGCAGTTTTCAAAGGTTTCCTTTAAGAAATCAGCCGGCATCATGTTGATGAGTATAATTTTTAACAGTTTTTGTAAATAATATATATATAATAATGATTTTTTCAAATGATGTTTAATAATGTAAACTAAATCTCTTATTATTCAACTTTTATATCGGTGATTTTTGGTATATCAGCTTCTTTTGACGAGTTTCACAAGCTTCTAAACCAATGACTCAACTTTGAAAACACCCTCTATAGCTCCACTTTGGTGGTTCGGATACCTCCATTTTCGTAGCGTTTCTATAGTGACGTGAAGCAATCGGATGGTGAATGATGGAAAAAAAACAAAAAGGACCTAGCACAAAACAAGTGGAAAATGGGACCCACTCAATTTGTCTAAAATTTCAGTATGGTATATTTCTTGCGTCCCTGAACAAAAATCTGCAAGAGACGAAAGCAAACCTATGATTAGTTTCTACGAAATGGGCGGATAAAGTTTGTCTGATTTGCAAAAATGGTGAATGTGCCGTTTGTAGTTCTCACGCCAAAAACTGGGAGAACTAGAAGAAATATTTTATTAAAACACCATGTAGGAAGGTGTTCAGAAGTGTTACGTAACAAGGTCAGTTTCAAGACAAGTTGACTTTCATATCTTCATGTTTGAATAGAACTAGCACGAGTTGCTCGAGAATACAGGGACCTTAAAGCATAGGTAGCCTTCAAGGGCACAGTGCATGTCTTTCTTTTAATGCATTTAGAAAACTACAAAGAGTATTGATTGAAGGTATAAAATTTAAATTGCAGAAAATGTTAAATCAGGTTGTAGTGGTTCAGTGAGGTGCGCGGCAACTCGGTAACAGTGGACGAAATTGTGGTAGATCGAGCGAGAGAGGCAACAGGTGACGTGACCATCTTCCGGATTTAAGGATTACCGGGTTCCATGTTTTTTTAGTTAGTGAATTATTTTACTTACTACCTTACTACCATTAAAGTTTGTCAGCCATATCGCCGTCGTTATTACTGCAACCCACGAAAAACCCTGAGTAATATTGTGTAAGCTCGGATCCACTTCAAGGTACAGATTACAAAGAATTCGTTTCGTCATTTAAAGTCCTTTTGTTAGAAAACTTTTCTAGAAAGTGTTTAGATTCGTCGATGAAGATGACTTTTCAAGTCAAGAATTTCCTATTTTTCAAGTATGAGACTTACTTGTATTAAATGGAGGATACTTTGATGACACTACTTTTAGATCAGTTAAGTGTTAGTTTGGAAATGCCTTCACCTTTGGAAGGAAATCAATGGCAGATTTCCACGGAATTAGCCAATAAATCTCGTTCAGTTACCAAGACAAGATTTGTAGTTCAAGAGTTATTCAAATACTGCATGTGCCAAGTTTAGGGATCTTTATAATAGAAGATGAATTGGCGCATCAGTTGTTAGCAATGGCGA